TCATCAAAAGTCAAAGTATATGCTTGATTCCTGGCTAGAATCTGTTCAAAAGCGCAGAATTTTTTTTCTTTTTGCCAACCCTACATAGTCAAAAAATAGTAAAAGAGATAGCCTACATTTCTACTAGTTTCCAGGCCCTTTTAAAAGCGCAATTTTTTTTATTTTGTTTTCTTATTCAAATTGTTTGTAATTAATTTTAATTGAATTATTAAAAAGCCAATAAAATTTATATTGAAGACGCGTGTGTAATTGACTTCTATTTGCTCTTTTTTATTGTCTTTAATAATTTTCAGCAATGCTAAAATAATGTACACAGTAAAAACCAACACTTGCGGTTTTCATTTGATTTTATTGTTTTGCAATAAGTAGTTAATTAATTACAAACGTAGAAGGAAAAAAGTTTGCGTTTAAAAACTAAGACTTTTGGCGGGAAAATTTGAAAAAATTTGCATAGCGTTTCCCCTTACAATTTTTTTTGAGAAACAATTTAGAGGTTACCCTTCAGAAGTTTTTGATCGCAAAAAAATTCTCAAAGGCAACAGTTGACAGAAAATCCCGTCAAAAACTACTGTATCACGTCGCAAAAAAAAAAAAAATGCAATTTCGATATTTCACCATTTTTGTCAAATAAATATTTGCCAAACAGTCTTGAAATGTCATTTTCCAACGAACTTCGCGACGGTTTTTTGTGCGAGAAGACATGAAAAATGAAATGACAAGTAGATCAAATAAGCGACAAAATAAAATTTAATTCCGATATGGATTTTAAAATCTCACAAAGTGACTGTGAAATACCGTTTAATTTTGTATCCAATCGAGTTTGATCTTCAACTGTTTGTAGCTTGTCATTTCATATCTTTCTCTGTCAGACGCTAATAAGGACGGCACACTAAGGATCAGTTGCGCAGGAGCAAGAACACTCTAATCAATCAAAATCCAATTATTGTCCCCCACGAAATTATCCAATTTCAATGGTTTATGACCCATTTTAAGTTTCGAAATAAGTTAATTTTCTCTTCCGATGCGACCGTTCGCTTCGTTCTCTTTTCCCGTGCAGCAACCAAAGTGTAAATAAATAATCAATATCTGGTTGTACAAAGATGTTTATTCCTAAAATAACGCAAAATTGCTTCGGCCGCTAAAGTATACTGGATTTTATGAACTCGTTAAATCAGAGCAATGTCGGAATATTAAATCCACCGTGAAAATTTAAATCTCATGTTGAAAAATTTTCAAAAAATATTTTACTCTGTTTTGAACAAAGCTTATCAAAGAAAATGCCTATGTACTTTTGGACGTCGAGAAATTTAAACGTTGGAAATGACAAAGGAAAACAAACATGGTTTACAAAGGCGCCACGAGAACTTTGTCTAACAAAGCACGTTTTTAATACCAATTCAAATGCAAATATTAGCATCCTTGTTAACGAATTTGTTGCTGGTCTTTCTAGTTTTGGTTGTGATTGTTACCAAAATTGTTGCAGCCTTTTAAATCTTGAAAAACAATCAATGCAGTAGCTAATTTTAAATGTTTTTGTAGAAAGATGCTCTTTTTGGAGGTCATTGCCAGACAATTGCTGAAACAGAAGAGATGTAGAGTGCAATCGAATTTGATTTACAAATGTTAAAGGAAGATATTTTCAGAAACAGGTTTTATATTTTCAGTTGTTCTCCGCGATCCTGAACTTGTTCGTACTTAAAAGCTGAAAATATCGATTCTCCTTAGTAATTGCCTTACTTGGTCCTAACTGTAGTTCTGAGAATTTGGTAGCACATCAAGACAACATCTCCTAGTCGATGAGTTTGGTTATCACTCTCGTTATACTTCTCTGCTTTTCCCATTTTTTACAACACCTTTTGTAAACCAGATATTGATCTTAGAAGCCTAAACTTTCAATATCTAGAGGTTAAACAAACGTTGATCTATCGTTAAGGTGGCACTTTCAAAAATTCATAGAGAGTTGTGTAGTATGCTCAGTTTAATTTCAAGTACCTGTGGTACAACAATATGTAAGAACAGCTTCGATTCGTAGTGAAAGATAACTATCTCGGTAATCAGATGATTCTGAATGCAGCTTGTAATCACTGACAAATTTCCCTTTAGCCTTCCGAATTCCTTAAAGTATTCCTAAAACTTTTGTTACCGTCGAGAAATTTTCAGAAATCTTCGAGTGATCTCCGGTATTCATCTCGGATGACTGTCGGCAGCCGTTCGGAATCTTCGTATTTCTTTAGAAATCTTCGTTGTAATTTGCAATCGACGTTTAGTCTAGATCGATATTTGTTTCTAAGTCTGTTTCATATTGTTGAACAAGTTTGCAAATAATTTCATAACACAGTTGTGTGTTCATGTGATTGATTCAGATGACCATAAGTACTGTTTCAAGAGTAAATTTCATTGTCCTGGTATTTTTCTATTTTATTACACTGAGTTTGAGGCTTTATTCGATGAGAATTTTAATTCTAGCATGACAATGTATTTGTTGTAAAGTGAATTTCGTTGT